AAGGTCTGAAGTGTAATAACTTTTGGCCCAAATGTTAAAAAAGTCTTAAACGTGATAAAATCTCATCTAAACCTGAAATCACAGAGGTAAGTCGTAGACAATATTAAACCGTTTGGCTTTTTTGCCTTCATTATACAAAGGAATAAAGGCAAAAGTGTTTTAAGTCATTGGCTATTGCAATTAATGTTCTTTAATATTCAAATGCCACAGAGGTGCGTCACAATTTCACGTTATCTTTATTGCATGTCTTACTTTATAGGAGTCAACATCAACAGACCTTGAGTTTATGATTAACAATAGAAGGTATGAATTTCAACGAATGTCTTAAAATGTTTGGACACATGGATCGCATGCCGAAGTGTCATATTTCTGAGAACATAATGGATCAGGTAATGTAACATTAATACGTATCGAACAACAAAGATGGCGAGTAAAGAATTAGTACTACCAGTACTAGAAAAAAAAACAAAAAAACAAAATTGAGGACCTTCAGCTAACTTGTCTCACTGATTCCTTTATGAATATTACAACACAACATGATTTTTTCATCAAACAAGTATGTGTTTTTCTTTACGTTTACTCTCGTCCTTTCCACCATATATTGGTGACATACCCCCAAGTTCCAACTCCTGTAAACTGTAGCTCGACCCATGCATTGATCCATTTGGGACTTCCTATTATCTTTTTAAGAGCCAGGACAAGTCCACTGCACGGGCCAAATCCTTTACATAGTTTACGCATGCTAAGGAAGCTTTTACTTCGAATGTCCTTGTGGCTGTAGCTGACTCGTGGGAGGTGACAGATATAACGACTTGCGAGACTTGCGATCACTGAGCTGAGAAAGAGAACTAAAGGTAGTGATAACACTTAATTCAGTCCCGGTTAATGCAAAGATGCAAAGGTTATAATTTTGTCCAGCACTTCATTTGGAAGTCGCTTGCATGGGGGCTTCATCGTCATCATAATTATCGCATTCACCTTCTCCTTGTTTGACGTCTCCCTATACAGCCTGACTGGCAGCGCTGTCAGCAAACATGTCATTATCATCATTATCATATTCCATTTCACGCATCTCTTCGGCTTGGGTCGTAGCGTTTTCAGCAATCTCATCGTCATTGTGTTCCTCATTATCATCAATTCCGTTGTGGTTTTCTCTTCAGTGTACGTAATTGACACTCTTAGCAGGCATTTCATCATTATCTTCGTCACTCAGACTGTTAAGGACGATATTGTGTTCACCGTGGTTTTCAGCAAAATGACCAAGAAATAGTGTTGCTATTGGAATGCTTGACGTGAGTTGGAAACCACGACTAGCACCAGGACCAAGGGATGAAACAATTTTTATATTTACATTGAATAAGTTAGCGGCAGCAAACAATGTCAACTGATCACCAAACGTATGATCCTGAGCCATGTGGACAAGATAATCTGGCCATGATTGAAAGTGTGGATTCCACTCAGACAAAGGAAAGCCATCTTCACCTAGTGGATGTGTTTTTAGATATCTCAGTTATAAGTTCCTTACGCAATGTCTCTGCAGATCTTGAGATGCCTAACAAACGAAGTTCATATGCGTGAAAGCTGCAAACTGGCAGTTACCGTTTCCTGGAGGATTGTGAACTAGTTCAGATCCCTGATCTTCTGTTATCTTCAGGTAGTCATCGCTTTCCATTGGATTAGCAATTTTTCTGCTTGTCAATCGTTGCCGCTTTTTGCTTCAACTTTTCTTCTCCTAATGTCAAGCTTGTTTTGTCAACCACACTGAACCACCGTCGTTCACGCCTTCCCGATGACGGTGAAATAAACAAAACTTTATATGAGTATTGCTTTAGATTTCTCTTTTCTACTAGACCTTCAACAACTTGTTGTTTTCGGAAGGACTTAGATATACCCTTTTTAGCCAGTCGGAAGTGAACTTTCTCCCCAATTCCGTATCGTGATGGGGGATTGGATTTTAGGTGGGCGTTAACCATTCTTCGATGGTAACGTTCAGTCGCAGCATAGGCAACTTACCTGAGATCTTTTGCATATCTGAAACGACGTTTCCTATCCTTGTCGCTTGGCTTGCAGTTGGCAGCAGTTTCCGCCAATTCGTCGCTTATTAAGTCTTCACTTTCTAGATCTCGGTTATGGTTGTTACAAGGCTTGCGTGCGAAATATATTTCAAACGGAGATTTGTACGGCAGAACGTCTTTGGATCCTCATTAAAATGTTCTGATATTGAGGCAGTGCTTTGGCCCAGTTAAGAACTTTCTTTTCCAGTTTTAGAAGGTCATACTCCATCTTCAAAACGCAGAGCGCGGTGGCTTCTTCCTACTTTCCCCTGAGACTGTGGATGGTGCGGACGACTGTATATCATTTTCACTTGCATTTTACGGCAAAGTCGTTTCACATCTCCTTTAAACTCAGAACCTTGATCACTTTGCAACAAAAGAG